CACACACACACACACACACACACACACACACACGCACACACACACATCATCATCATCATCATCATCATCATCATCATATGACATGTCAGAATCGACCTGTTGTTGAGGTTCTGGAGGAGTTTGGAGGACTTGAATTCATCCATCTCTCCAATTATGCTCACACTCACATCACCGTCCCGACCAATAAGCCACGTCACACTTTTATTGGAAACTGAAAACCATAATAAGAAAGAAAAAATTTAGAAAGAAAAAAATGTGTTGTGTTTTTTATTGTTTTGTTTTCCAGAACAGTCTGAGTCTTCTCATTGGCTGTTGTTCTGGTTATCAGCCAGTAGGTGGTGGTCTTCTATAAGTTTAAAGACAGAAAAGTAATATTCCAGTTAACTATTTTACTTTGTTCATTTCACTTTGTGTTCTTCCACTGTCTTACAATGTTTTTACTGAAACTCTGCAGGTCTCAGTTCACTGGGTTTTCTTAAAATCCAAAACAAAAACAAAAGTAAGAAAGAAAGTTAGTTAAATACTGAGGAAGGTTGATCTTGACTTGAAACAGTTTGACAAAAACTCTCTTTGAAGTAATATAGAGAACTCATTGCTTCCCTAATATTTAGCTTCAGAGACAGTTTTGTATAAAGTACCTCAAAGTGATACTTGAGTAAAAGTACAAGTACCATACCATAAAGTTCTTAAGTTAGTGTAAAAGTCTAAAAGTATCTGACATTTAATTTAATTCAGCTTATTTATATCAAGTCACCACAAACATCATCTCAGGGCCATGACCTTTGACTCCAATTAGTTACAGGCAAGCCTACCTCAGTTACTTTTTTCTCCATCATTGTTATTCCATGCCCCCTACTATTCCAAAAAAATTGAGAATGTATTGACCCGAATTTCACCATTTGTAATCTAATTGTCAAGTATTTCTGTTTTACTATTTGTATTCAATTATTGTGCAGCACCTGCTACCAATTAACTCTTTCTATATTAATAATTATTGTACAGCACCTTGTGATTTCCATTTCTGTGAAAGGCGCTCTATAAGTAAAATTTTACTTACTTACTGAGTAAAACTGAGCGGTTAGAATTTCCTAAATGACATTTATTGGGAGGTGACCAATAAAATTCATTCTATCTGAGAGGCACAATATATCTGGATATGTTTTTATTTAACAATAACGAGCCAGAATGAATGCGAGCTAAAATGTAAAAGAAGTGACATTTTTCTACTTTTTATCTTATTTTTTAATGTGAGGAGAAGTAAAAAGTCACATAACCAAAATTTCTACTTAAGTAGAGTAACCAAGTATTTGTACTAAGTTACTTTACAGCTCTGTTTAAGGAGTACTTTTATAGACTCTGACTTTACTTAAAGGAACAAACAGATCCCACACATTTTTGTCTAAAAACAAAGGGAGCTGATAAACATCGTAATGTCTCCATCACACACTGGAAAACCCTTTTTGTTAAGATGTTATCTGACTGTGACAGAAACTCAGCTGTTTCCATGACACTACACCACCTGACGATGAGAAAACGTGATGTCACACATAGAGACCTAGCTTTTAACCTGAGTGCACAACAACACTTTCTGCCAATTACAACCCAGTTCAGATGGGACAATTTAAAAGATCAGTAACGTCAGTGAGCATGAAGGAGCTCTCAAACCAGATTAAAAAAAAAAAGCAAACAAAGGTCTCTGTTTTTCTGTTTTTATTCAAGACAGTGCCAGGTGTTTGTGCTGACACTCAACACACGAGGATGGTGTGCCTTTTGTAAAGTTACACAGTCAAAAATTACCACCAATATTTTTGTTTTATTTAGCCTTTTATAAGAAAAAAATAACTGATTTATTTATCAGTCAGTTTTTCACCATATGATTCATACATTTACAAATGTCATAATTTATAAACTAAATATTTAACTTGCCCACCTAAATATTTAGGTTGCAACTTAAATATTTAGCTACCCACCTAAATATTTAACTTCAATATTTAGCTAGCTACCTAAATATTTAACTTGTGACTGAAATATTTAGTTTTCACCTAAATATTTAAGTTGCAACCTAAATATTTATGTAACCACCTGAATATTTAAGTTAAATATTTCGGTGGTTAGCTAAATATTTAACTTGCTAGCTAAATATTTAAGTTGCAACCTAAATATTTAGCTGAATAAATATTTCAGTCACAAGTTAAATATTTAGCTTGTTAAATAAATATTTAATTTGTAAGTTAAATATTTAGTTTATGAACTATGACATTTATAATATGAACCATATGGTGAAAAACTGACTTTGAAAAATAAATCTGTTCTTTTTTTCTTATAAAAGGTTAAATAAAACAAGAATATTGGTGGTTAATTTTGACTGTGTGACTTTACAAACGGCACCCCATACACGAGTGTTTACTGTGTAAATGACGTAGTCTGATGTCACCAACGACCCTCTCTGACATGAATCACAATGTGTCCAACAACACACCTTTATGCCGGCCTCTACAGTTACCTCACTGAGGTGTGAGATGAGGAGACATCTCCATTACATAGCTTGGATGTCTGTCTTAGTTACTATCAGGCTCACAAATAAACCAGAAACGCAGCATGCATTAGCATCCTCCTCTGACGAGTGAATATGTGCCGTCATGTGACATTTCTTGGCTCGCACGCACACAGAAACTTGTCTTTCCCTGCCAAAAGTCAGCACAGTGAACGCAAAGTGAAAGACGCCTGAGGAATATGTTGTGTAACACACAGACCCTTCACACTCGGCCTTCTCTCATGTGACATGGCAGAGATTAGGTAAACAAAGATGGTAACTTAATCTGTGGTTTAAAGCGTGGCGTCTCCCTCCATCCACTGAGTGTACTCAGACTGATTCAGGTTTCAGCCCACGGAACAATCTGACTGGTGAAGACAGAGGCCTTCTGTTACACACACACACACGCACGCACGCACGCACGCACGCACGCACGCACGCACGCACGCACACACACACACACACACACACACTGATAGTAGCACACAGAGCTCTCTCACACACACACACACACGCACGCACACACACACACACACACACACACACGTCCTGTGCAGTTGAACTAGTTAAAATGATAGGGTCTATGTGACGTGAGTCAAACCAGCACTTCTAATGAAAGAGCTCAGAACACAGTGAGTAAGACATGAAGACATGAAGGCAGAGCTGGGGCTTACATGGGCTAAAGACAGAACGAAGAAAAAGACACACTTAATCAGATTGGTAACTCGAGAAAGACTACATCTACATAACTTGTGTGTGTTTCATTACTTGTGTTTGGTGTTCAGAAGATTAATAAACTGTGGAGCAAGGCTGTCAAACTCAGTTACACAAGGGGGCCTAAATTCAGAGTTTGATCCAAGCAAGGGCCAATCTCTATTAACATTTATTGATAACATCATTGATATCAAATTATTCTGATCAAAATACAGTTGGCCTTTTCCTAATTATATTTTATGGATTATTTAGAGCAGAGGTGCCCAAAGTGGGGCCCGTGGGCCAAAATTGTTCTGCTAAGCCATTTGATGCAGTTGTCCTGATTACGACTGACTTACTACTGATTACCTCCCCTTTATGTGTTATCTGACCTAACCCCCCCCC